GACTGTCCTGCAGACCTTGAATGCGATGGCATCATGTTTGCAGATGATATAAAGATCTGGAAAACAATCAGCTGCGTTGAAGACGCGCAGAAGCTACAGGAAGATGTTAATAAGCTGGCTGCGTGGTCCAGCAAGTGGCTTCTAGCGTTTAACGTATTCAAGTGTGTAGTCTTGCGACTAGAATCTGGACGGAGGCGCTTCCCAAAACATCAGTACACCATAAATGGGGTTCCGCTAAAAGAAATGGACACGCAGAAAGACTTAGGTGTCTGGACATGCTCAAACTTGCTGCCCTCCCAGCACTGCAAAAGAGTCGTCCAAAAGGCAACCAGCATCGTGCACTGGATTAGGCGTGCCTTCAAAATCTTTCCTCCAGAACTCTTCTCACAGATATTCGGCACGTTCGTCAGACCGCACTTGGAATACGGAATGCCATCATGGATGCCCTGGATGAAGAAAGACAGTGATGCATAGAGCAGGTGCAACGATGGGCCACAAAACTGGTAGACGGTCTCAGGACTCTGTCATACCCAGAAAGACTGATCCAGTTAAATTTGTTCCCCCTATCCTATAGACGAATGAGGTGTGACCTGTTATGGACATTCCGAATAATCCACGGACATCAATGTTCGCTAAAAACAGACGACTTCTTTGAATTCACAACAACGAGTCACCTGCGCGGTCACCCGTACAAAGTCAAGCGGGAGCGTACACGCCTAGACAATCGGAAGTTTTCTGTCAGCCAGCGTGTTGTTCGACCATGGAACGCACTCCCAAGTGAAATAATGACATCTGATACAATCACTGTATTCAAAAGGCAGCTCGATCGTTTGATATTTGATAAACGACGACTTTCACAACAGGACTATCTGCGGCCAGCCATAAATTTCATTTCTTGATTTCATCCCTACCTAACACATCCCTGACTGTTAATGAAATGTCTCCTCTCAAACTATGCAAATGACAGCACGTTATGCTGATTGTATATAACTGCACTTAAAATTTCATATGTACACTGAGAAGACCGCCTGCCGCACCCTTCGCAGTCCCGCATTGTGAAAAGTTGTCCGTGAACACATATTTTACTGACAAAATTTTAGTAAGATGTACATTTAACGTTTATATTTTATGTACCGTTTTCAATAGGGTCATCAAGGGCATTGCCTGTTATCCTAAAATACACTATTATATATGATATATGACGACGTATGGACTCAGCACAACAACTAGATGTGCTGATTCCTTATAACGTCACACAGGCAGCTTATGCTTCTGTATGCGCGATTCGATCATGCGTGCAGCCTGACCCATAATGTGGACGGTGCTGAATTTGCCTTATGCGGTCGTAGTTCTCGTAATAGTTTCGCCGACACTGTTTGAAAATATTGGAAATCTATAGTTTATTCTGTGGAATACAATAATAACAACACAACGACTGTCTTTGAAAAAGTTTCAAATATTTTGCCACCGAAAAAATAATGGCCTCTCGCCCACAGACATCGCTGGCAAGCTGGAAATGGCCAGGTCAGCAATTTATGCGATTATCTAACGTTATAAGAAGTCCGGACGCACCCACAAGAAGCCTCGTAGTGGATAAACAAAAACGTTTTAGCCCCTTGGCTGATAATGGCTGTCCGGGATCGTAGTCCTTGCAATCCGGTCGGAATCATGAAGAAGCTGACTTCGGCGCCTGATGTGTCTGTGCACATGTTAATCAATGTCGTGAAAAAGGACCTGCATGTTAGGTCATGGACTAGGACTAGAAGGCATCTCGTTACTGAGGCTGTAAAAAAGAGAAGATACTGGATTGGACTAAGAGAATCTCACGTTTCCTCAAGATAGGACCGAACACGATGCTCTACTCCGATGAAAAAGTACTTCACGGTGGGTTCGGTGTCCAACAGACGAACATATTGCTATATAAGCCCACGGGAAGCTCAACGGGGTATCTGAGAATGCTAAGTGCAAATTTCAGACCAAACATCCTGCGTCTGCGATGGCCTTCGTCCTGATTGTCTCTGACGGCAAAGTCATGCCCGCTCTGTTCATCAAGGCGGGGGGGAGGTGGGGGGTGTCAAAGTGAACACAGACTAGTAACTGGATGTTCTTCAGAAACATATCAAGCCCTAAATAGATTCCAACCTGCACTTCAGACGACAATGTAGTCGTCCTTTAGGATATTGAGCCTGCATATACGTCAGAGAAGACGTAGAAGCGGCTGGAAGACCACATGCATTATTCCTGGCCCAAGGATATGTAGCCGTCATTATCGTCCCCTCAACATTGTCGCTGTCGACGGACTGAAGTCACTTCTAAGTGCATCCCCTCAATTTTGCCCAGATTAGGGCATGCAGACTGCAAGGTTATTTGCGTCACATGCATCTGTAATTTCAGCACGATGTCCAAGTCTTCATCTTAGTGGATAAGTTGATTCAGACTTGACGGCATGTTTCCCTTTCCGGCGTTCAATTTGGCAGACAGGCCGTGAAGAAGTTCCCAAGTAATATGAGAAAAATAATATCAGATGAACTAACACACTCACCCCGCAGTGAATCTGTTCTGACCGCCTTCAGGGAGGCAGGGAGGGGGGGAGGGGAGAGAGAGTGAGTTCATTTGCCCTCCGAAACATGACGAAATCTGACCGCCAGAAGAGGGCCATAAGACACGCACACACGACAGTTCGACCATCGATTTCGATGACGTCCACCGTGTGCCCCACAGACCGCATTGCGGGAGCAGGGACGGTGACTTACGCAGGGGTTTATAGTGCCAGTAGACTTGCGTAGCATCTACCTACACTCTCTCCTCCCCCCACGCCTGGGCCCGGTGTCAAGACAGAGTCAAGAAGACCGGAGACGGGGGAGGCCGCAGGTGGATGGCTTGGACGGATACTCGCCTTGGCGCTCCACTCCGCACCCCCTGGTCCACACACAAATGACCAGGATTTGGACCACAAAACAATGGGGTGGTGGCAGTGGTCCAGTTGTGCGACGATTGCCGACGACAGGGTCCGCCAGCGCATCCCGCAAATGTTGGCATTTGTAATTACGCACATATAACGCCTGCCAGATTCCGATGTGGCCCCCGTGTTGGTCCAGCGCATCTAACACGTGGCCCGTTTGGAGGGCAAACACACACACACACACATACACACACACACACACACACTCACACACACACACACGAGAGTTCGACCGTCAATTTCGACGATGTACACCCTATGCCCCACAGCAGGGACGGTGACTTGCGCGGGGTTTATAGTGACAGTAGACTTGCGCAGCATCTACTACACTCTCTCCTCCTCCGCCACCTGAGCCCGGTGTCAAGACAGAGACAAGAAGACCGGAGACGGGGGAGGCCGCAGGTGGATGGCTTGGACGGCTGCACGCCTTGGCGCTCCACTCCGCACCTCCTTGTCCTCTCAACAAAAGCCAGGATTTTGACCGACAACTAAGAGAGTGGAGTCTGGCACGGCCGGAGTAGCCGCAACTAGGCGTGCATAATGCATACTTGAGTTTCATGACGCCCACGCTTTTTTGGCCGCTTCCCCAATGGCATTCCATCACCGCAACCACAATGCTCATATCTCCTCAATAAACTTCATAGGCATCCTTCAACTCATGCGATTCACTGAGTGGACTGGGAAGAACAATCTTAGGCGCTCAAGGTACTGCGTACTGAAAATGTGCGGTTTCTTACTGGTTTAAAGACACGTATTGTTTATTGACCGAAATCATATTAATTGCGACGACGGAGGCCAAATTGATTTTACATTAATAGTACAACGTGTTTCGATCTGCTGAGCTCAGGGCAGGGTTGACTTATTTCAATAAATCCGTCGCAAGTTTCTTTCGAATATGCTGCTATGCATTTTTGTGTCCGACGTAGCTCTCAAAACTGGGCAATGGAATTTGGCCATGACCAAGCGTTTACTACATAACTATCCTTCACACCTGCCAAGTTTCCGAAGTAGTCAGATTAGGAGTTTGTCTGCCGTTCCGATCGTCCTCCGTTCTGTCTGGGAAATGGGCCAGTAAAATAATCCACAATGTTCCATGGAATTTCGACAGCATCATGTACATTAGAATATGTATGTATGAGTAAGACAGAGGATAGTCAATTATATCTGCAAATTCGAGCAATTGGCGAGCATCGAGGCCTTTTCACTGCCATAAACTTCAACCTTCTCCTCGCGCACGAACAGGTGTCTTCCAGTTGTGGACCATCACTTTTAAATTAGTAGTCATCGGATCTCCCTGCCTCTCAAAGATGTCTTTTCTAAACATCTTTCTACAGGATTTCGGCAGATTGTTGCTGCTGTTGCAGGCAGAATGGTTCTAAAGCAAAGCATACCGATGCCACCGAGAGGTTGTTATAGGCCCTGTCCAGATTTGTAAAAGATGAGATAGAGAGAGAATGAGTGGTAGCTTCATCGACAGTCGGTATCCCTCAGCCCCCCTGCTGCGGGGGCAATGTGGACATTGTCGTTCGCGCTTATCTAGGAATCAAGTCATGCCCACTACCTAGACGGTCACTTTATGCTCCAATTCGGTTTTATTGCGATACAGAACACGCAAATTATTTCAATCTTAAATGGGTTCCCGGAAAGTTTGCATGGCATTTCGTCCTTTGCTAAACAGCAATCCCCTACCAGCGTCCTGTACTCTTTCATAATATGATTAAACATCTTGCGCTGGTTTGACATGGTATTGTGAGTGTCTGATGACCCTTGTCTGGCGGTCAGATTTCGTCATGTCGCGGGACGCACCTGAACTCTCACTTTCCCCTCCCTCCCTCCCTCCCTCCCACCCCATCCTCTAAGCGTGGGAGAATTGATTTACTGCGATCCTGATGTGTTAAGTCGTCCAGTACTTGCTTTATATTAGCTGAGCACTTCTTGCGGTTTAGTTAAGAAGAAATCGTCCGCAAAGATGACGCTGAAATTGCAAATACATCCTGGACGACTGCCCAGTCTGCCATAGGGTATCAACGGTCGCCTGATGAGCTTCCGCCTGCCTCTCCGCGGAGGCAAATTCGCCACCATTATCAGTGCCTCTGCTCCGCCGATGACCAGCCTCGACGCCGCAAGGGGCAAATTCTACGAGGACCTGCACGCCCTCCTTGCGACTGTCTCGTATGCGGACAAGCTGATTGTCCTTGAGGAATTCAACGCCCGCGACAATTCAGACCATGCTGCCTGGAAAGGAGTGCTAGGTCCCCATGGTCTTCGCGGTTCAAACGACAGTGACCTGCACCTTCTCCGCAACTGCAGAGAACACCGCCTCATCCTGACAAACACCTTCTTCTGTCAATAGAAGCGAAGAGCCGAGTCCCAGGAAGTAGTCTTGAAAAAGGAGACACGATCGCCGGGACAAGAGCTTTATTAGCCTGACGTTTCGGATTCCTACTCGAATCCATCATCAGAGACAAAAGAGCAGAAACGGGTGGTTGTAGCACAAGGGGCTGCGGTATTTATAGGATGCAGTAGCCATGCTACCGCGTACCTATGAACGTTCACGGCTCCCCCCCCCCCTTCATCCGGGATTGTCACACTTGGTGTGATCATTGCTTGATGGCCGACATTCGAGTCGATAATTGCTGCAATTTCATCACGTGCGTTGGAAGTTGGCGTGATTATTGCTCGACCATCTGACGCGTTGTCCCGGGTGTTGGGAAGGGTGTTCACAAGTATGCGGTAGCATGGCTACTGCATCCTATAAATACCGCAGCCCCTTGTGCAACAAAAACCCGTTTCTGCTCTTTTGTCTCTGATGATGGATTCGAGTAGGAATCCGAAACGTCAGGCTAATAAAGCTCTTGTCCCGGCGATCGTGTCTCCTTCTTCAAGACTTTCTTCTGTCTGCCAGAGCGAGGGAAGGCCATCTGGAGGCATCCTCGGTCGCGTCAGTGGCACCTGCTGGACCATGTTCTCGTCCGGAGGCGAGATCAGCAGGACGTGCTGGTGACAAAGGCGATCGCGGATGCTGACGGGTGGACCGATCATCGCCTCGTCATCGCGAAGATGCGTATTAGCCTACAGCCTCGCAGAAGACCACAAAGTAAGCCACCACCCAGATAAGTTGAATATTGCCTTGTTGTCGTTGCCCGCTCACCATTTCCATTTTAGCGACGAGCTAGCTCAACGGCTAGACAAAATTCCTGTCGCAGCCGCCACCGCCACCGCCGCTGACGAAAAGGCATATGTGGAGAACCGATGGTATCAACTGCGGGAAACAGGCCAGTGGACGGTGCTTGCCGTCCTCGGTCACGCACCTCGTCCGTCTTCTGCCGAAAAGCCAGTGCGGCTTCTGCCGTTATCGCGGGACCAAGTACATGATCTTCGCCGCTCGTCAACTTCAGGAGAAGTGCCACGAGATGCGGACCCATTTGTACTCTACATTCGTGGATCTGACGAAAACCTTCGACACGGTCAATCGTGAAGGACTGTGGAAGATCATGCAGAAATTCGGCTGTCCGGAGCGATTCATTCAGATGGTGTGTCAACTCCACGACGGCATGATTGCGCGTACGTCACGGACAACGGAGCTGTCTCAGAGGCATTCGCATTGACCAACAGTGTAAAACGGGGATACGTCCTGGCGCCTACCCTCATCAGTCTTATGTTCTCTGACAAACTGATGGACGCCTACCACGACGAACGTCCCGGGATCCGCATCGCCTCCAGGACGAACGGCCACCTCTTCAATCAACGCCGGATGCACTTCCAATCTCGCGTATCCACAACCACCGTACACGAACTTCTCTTCGCCGACGACTGCGCCCTGAACACCACCACGGAAGAGGACATGCAATGGAGCATGGACCTCTTCTCCGTCGCCTGCGAGATCTTCGGTCTCGTCATCAACACGGAGAAGATGGTGGTCATGCATCAACCGCCACCAAACAGAACCCCTCAGCACAATGCGCCACAGATCAGCGTGAACGGAACCCAACTGCCAATGGTGGACAATTTCCCATACCTGGGCAGTACCTTCTCCCGTAGCGCGAAAATCGATGACGAAGTGGCCCGCCGGATCTCAAGGGTCAGTCAAGCATTCGGCCTCCTTCAAAGCACAGTTTGGATCCGTCACAGTCTGTAGTTCAGCTCGCAGTTGAAGATGTACAAAGCCGTCATCGTATCGACGCTGCTGTATGGAGCGGATACTTGCGCGGTGTACACGAAGCAGGCACGCCGATTCAACCACTTCCACCTCAGTTGTCTTCGTCGCATCCTGAGACTGAGTTGGCATGATCGAATCCCCGACACTGATGTATTGGAACGGACGGGAATCCTCAACATATACACCATGCTGAGATAACTGCAGGTGCGTTGGAGCGGCCACCTCGTGCGCATGGACGACGGGGGACTGCCCAAACGACTCTTCTATGGCGACGTCGCCACGGTTTCACTTCGTCAAGGAGGTCGAATTCGCCGATACAAGGATACGCGGAAGTCCTCTCTGAAGCGTCTGCAAATTAACCCGGCCAACTGGGAAGACCTCGCCAACGACCGACCGACCTGGAGAAGAACAGTGAAGACAGACGCCGCGATCTATAAAGCCAACCGCATCGTTGCCGCCAAAATCAAACGTGAAGCACGCAAGTCCCATGTGCGCTCACCCCCAATCCGAGTGCACAACCGCCTCCAAAGTGCCCACGGTGTCAACGCACATATCGGGCACGAATTGGACTTGTTGGACACCTCCGGATCAACTGCGCATCTCGGACCGCATCAACCGGCCAAATCCCCCTCGTCCTCCTCGCCGCCAAATAAATCTGACCACTCTTCTGAGCCACCACTTCCATGCTCCTCCCCCTTCTCCTC